TGGCAGAGGCTGGGGCCCTCCGGCTGCTGTTGCTGGAGCTGCTGCGCTGCCTTGTCCTTAGCCTGGCGCTTCATCTTGTAGCGGTGGTTCTGGAACCAGATCTTCACCTGGGTGGGCGTGAGGTGGATCAGGCTGGCCAGGTGCTCCCGCTCGGGGGCCGAGAGATATTTCTGCTGCTTGAAGCGCCTCTCCAGCTCGTAGACTTGCGCCTGGGAAAAAAGCACCCGTCTCTTCCTCCGCGGCGCGGTGTGGAGCCCGGGAGCCATGGACTTGGCAGCCTCCGCGATCCCCGACAGAGCCCCCATGCCGGCCATATTCATGCCTCCCGTCGGGCCCATCAACCTGGAAACTGAACACACACACACACACACGCACACACACAGGTGAGTTAAGAGGGTTTCACATCAAGAAATTCGGGGGCAACAGGTGGCAACCTTGGAAACAGGGAACACGGGGAGGAATGGATGCTCTGGAGTATTTAAGCTTGGGATCAATTCCACAGTGGGAAGGATAATCCCAATGATTGATCTCTTGATGATGATGCCTCCCGCCCCAACCATTCAGCCCTGGGACATCAAGAGTGCCTCTGAGCACCTCCAAAGCGCCTTCCCTCCCATCTTGGAATTGCTCCCAAGCTTCAAGGTTTGGGGCGTCTATGTTTAGGGAGATGGCACTTGGGGAGAATCTTCAACAAAGAAGGGAAACTAGAGGGGACGGCCCACCATCCAGGCCAGTCAGAGCGCCCCCCTCCCCCTCCACCTCGCCCCCTTCGGCCCCTGCCCGCTTACTCGTGGGGTAGCGGGGGTCCGCGTTGGGTCCATACCAGCCGGAGGCTGCTGCGCTGCTGCGCACGCTGTCTGAATAGGGCGCCAGATCGCTCACGTTGCCGAGTCCACCGTTGCAATAGCCCGCAACGGAGCCGTGGGCAAACTGCGAGACGCCGGCGTGCGCCATGGGATGGTAGGTGGCAGTGTTGTGGCCAGCCATGGGGTGCTGCTGCTGAGGTTGGAGGGCCGAGCTTTGGGGCTGCCGGTAGGCGGCGGCCCCCACGCCCAAAGGTGCGCCCAGGCTGCCCTCCATGGCGCCGAACTTCTTGTAGGTCTCCTCCATGGGGCTCAGGATATCAGAGACGGAAAAGGGCGTCGTGTGCTTGGGGCTGAGCGACATGGCTCGCCGAGCGGCCCCTTGGCTCTCTTCTTGCTCGCCCGGTGGACGCTGCCGCTGAGTCCAGACGAAAAGGGGGCTGAACGCCGCCGCCGCCGCCGCCGCCGCCGCGCGGGAACCCGGCCAAGAGGAGGAGGAGGAAGAGGAGGAGGAGGAGGAGGAAGAAGAAGAAGAGGGCGGGCAGGGGAGGGGGAGGCGGCGCGCCAGCCCTCCCTCTGCTCTCTCCTTAGCTGAGGTTTATTTTAGTCCGGAGGCAGTTGGTTTACGACAGACACCGGCGGGAGGCGGAGCCACAACACATGTTTCCCCACCTCAGCCACTCGATCTCTCCCTCAGAGCTCCCCCACTCTTCAGCCGGAGCTCACACCAGTGTGGGAGCCCAGCCCAGCCCCCGCCAATTTCGAGGAGAGGAACACCTTCTTTTGCTCCAAAGCCGGGAAACACTTCACAATAGCCCCCCCCCTCGGCCCCCAACCGTCACCCTACGCCAGAGCGGGAGCCCATTCCCATGCGCGGGGGGGTGGGTGGGGTGGCGGCGGGGCCGGCAGCGTCACCAATTAGAGAACCCCAATGGGTTTCCTAAGGGCCTGCCGCTGCCCCCCGTTTCCCGTCAGAGATGGATCTCCCAACTCAAAGCGCTCCCTCAGTCTCCAGCGGAGACTCCCTCAGCCTCCTCTTCCCGTTTCGGCGAGAGTCCCCTCAGAGTCGGTTCCAAAAGGAGGTCCTTCAAAATGCGCCAAGGAGGGCATTCCTCTCCTTGTGCCAAAAAAGTTGGGAAACTCCAAGCTACGCCAGGCTCCGGGGTGGCACGTCAGTTTTGCTTTTGGCAACATCTAAAAGCGCGCCAAAATCAGTCGGGGGGGGGGAGCCGGCGGGCGTCCTTCTCTCGCGCGCGCCTCTCAAGTTCCCCATCTCCCTTCAGGCGCGCGCCGGGCTAGGGCAAGAGCGAGCCTGGGGGACACCGCAGCCCCGTCCGTAGCGCCTGCGCTTCAGGTGACAGGAACTGCAGCTAGTCGCGTTGGACTTTCCAGAAAACTGTTAATAGGAATACAAGTGAAATGAGAAACAATGATTTTAAAGGCCAATGCGCTCTCGCTCTCTCGCTCTCTCTCTGTGAGAGAAGAAACGATCCTGTCCTACCTTAATGGGTTATTGTAAAGACGGCTTTTGACATTTTAAAGAGCCGTCGGAGAGATGGTGACGATTCCCATGTATTTGGAGCAGAGAACTGGGAGCAAGTCATCTGGACTTCTGGCCTCTTCTCCTAGATGAGCGAGAAAAAGCGGGAGCGTGTGTGTGTGTGTGGGGGGGGACCAAGTTTCCTGTGGGTATTTGTTTTTTAAATAAAATTCTCCCGAGGAATGAGTATAATCCAAAAATAAAAGAAGGGTCCTCCGCGCCCTCGGCGGAGACTGAAGGGTGATGAGCAGCTATATGAAAATGATGCCACGACGATTCCCTCGGCGTGTTTCGCCGAGCTGAGGTAAGACCCCTGCCGAAGCAGGACTCTCCCTTCCGAAGGACGGCTCTCAGCTCCTCCTTGGCAGCCGCCTCGATTTGTGAGTTTAACCTGAAGTCTTCTCGCGGGAGAGGATAGGATTTGCTGCGGCCCTGTGGGTAAGGAGCTGCCGCTCTGCCTTGCTCGGAGTTGCGTCCTGAACGCCGCTGGAGCTTTGGCTGGAGCTCCGCTGAGTTTGGCGGCGCTATGGTTCCGAAGCTGAACCGCAGGCAGTGGATGGTGATGAAGATCCGCGGATTTCCTTTGGAGTCGGAGAACTGACCAGGAGCGGAGGCTGTTCTCGGTGGAAAAAACAAACCAACCGATTTTCACTGCAGTTGAAGGTGTTGAACCAGCTGTGCCCGTGAAGACACCGGGAGAAAAGTTCAGGCTGAAGGGCAGCCTGTGCGCTCTGCGCCAGACCTCAGGAGCTGCTGATCCTTCCCTGCGGTCAGATTGCTAGGACGAAGGCCCTGTTCACCTTCCCCGCCCCATCCCTCCAGTTCCAGATCCCGTTCGATCCCGCTGTTTTCAAGTGTTTGGACCACGGCTTTTGTCCTCGGTGGGAAATATTCTGCTGAGAGGGCCGCTCTCTAAAAAGGACCTCCATTTTTAATCCTTTGCTTCAAGGACTTCGCCAGCGCCTTTTTCTTTTCTTTTTCTTTCTTTTTGGCTTGTTTGAAAAGCTGAGCCAAGCGATATGGAGTTAGCGCGGCGGCGTACTCCTCGCCTTTTGACGCGGGGCCTGCTGGCAAACTTTGGCAAGTTTCGTTCTGTGATCCTTCTTGGACTCCCAGAGCGCAAATCCAAGTCGTCGGTTAGGCGTGCGTCTTGTACTCAGAACGCAGAAAGAAGAAGCGGGTGGGTGAGAGGAGGAGGTCAGCAGGCTTGGTGACTTCCCTGGCCCTGCCCTTTCCCTTATCAAAGGGGGATGGGGTGTCTCCGGGGAGAAGAAGAGCCCTTTGCCCCAGACCTTTCCACGGATTCAAAATCCCGTTTTACAGGAAGCCCAGCCCAAAGCCCAAGCCCTAGACAGCGTTTGATCTGGAATAAAAAAGTGGGGGAAGACAGCCAAGCGGTGGTAGGGGAAGACCACCGTAATCTGCAAACTTGGTGGCAAAAGTACAATAAACAAATAATTAAATAAAATTAAATGCCTGTGGAACGGTGTCCAGGAAGATGGGCACAGAACACATTTTGTAAAAAGAGAAGAATCAGCCTCCGTGAGAGGGATGGAATGAATCCCTTAGGCTTAATTTTTAGCGTGTATAGGGAGTGAAAAATTAAAATTCTATATATGCTCGGAGGTACTGATCCTTATTCTATTCTCTTTTAAAAGCGTTTGGCTTAAAAACGGAAGGAACGGTACTAGGGCCTGGCCAAAGAAACTGGAGCATGTGTGAGCCCGGGTGTACAATATGCATAAAAGATATGTATACACACGTGCGCGCACACACAGAGTCTCCTATCACTGTGCTTTCAAATCAGGTCAGCATGAATATAAGATACTGCTGGGTGGCAACACTAATAAGTTTATTGGCTTGAAGCAGACAGATTGTATTGCACCGGAGGCAGTGCTAGCGTGGCTTCACTCCCACTCAACTGTGAGATGGTGTTCCCTTTTTCTTGGCCACGCATTCTGAATAGCACTAACTTGGACTTCATTCTTCGGAGCAGACTTAACTAGATCGAGCTGAACAGCCTGTGTTTTCTCGAAAAGCATGTGACAGCTTGTGATTGGCCTGCACCACTTTCACTCTGCAAGTGGGGACTGAATGCTCCCTTGTACAGTTTTTAAAGATCCATGCAAACAGAAAAGCAGAATATGGAAAACCTTTGTAGCTTAGCCTTCTTCCTGATCATTCTTACCTTCCGCATTTTTACTGGGGAAACTTTCCATCAGAGGTATCCTTACCTGGAATATGTTGTGAAACAGCCCTGAAACAAGTTTACCTTATTGTTTGAAAGGGTACCATCGTAAACGTTCTAGGCCTATATTTCCAGCAATCCTATGAATTACCATATAGTGTCACTTTTGAGCATGTGATCGGGAGAGAAGTTGTTTTAAGTCTCTTAGATTTCAGCGGAAGAATTGACATTCTGCTTAAACTCTTTCCACTGAACCCACGACTCCACTGTTAAGGTTTTTAATGTTGGACGAACCCAACTCTATAAAGTAAATTGGTTTCATGCAGAGGATTTTAGCTGCAGTGCTTTTAACTGACTCCAGGGCTGCAGCTTGGAAAGGATGTAAATATACTTGGGATAGTGATGTCGGTGGTGAATTCAGGTCCAGAGACAGCAGGGGAAGCTGACAGTTTTTGCCTTCTGAAATGAAAAAGAGCTCCACTTTAGAAGCAGTTCGTATGTGTCTTACTTTTATCAACAAATAAGCCCACAGGAGGGACCCACTCAGATGGAAGGTATTTATTACGCATTGTCTCCAGTGGCAGAAGATGGGCTTTGAGTTAGCATCAGCCGAAAACATAATTACTCAAAAGTAAGTCTCAGACGTTTCAATGGAAGTTCTTCTTCATTGCGAATCATTTGACTTAATGTTATAAAATATGTCGAGGGGGTTTCCACAATTTAACTAGATTCTTTTACAAAGAGTACCACAGTTTAAACTCCTTTCAGTAAAACAAGATCGCACACATTTGAGATTCATTACAACCCACTTGCAACTTCTTCTCAGCAAAGACCAGTTAGAATGGATGCTCAGGGCTTTCCCAGATAATTCCCCGGAGGGGTGTGCCTGTTCTTACCCTTTTCTCAAGCTTAACTGTGTTGCTCTTGAACAAAACTACTGAAGAGCTCAATCTACTAATTTTTACAGGGATGTGGTGAGGAAACAGACAATAAAATATTCTGCTATTTCAAATAATCTCTTTTTAAAAATTAAACCTGGACATACTGGGACCAGAGCTGAATTTTTGCCCAATCTTCTGAGAGCGCACCAGGGCTAAGGGATTTGGGAGGCCCATTCAAACTCCATTCTTCTATGATTCTACGAAAAGTCAGATTGGCAGGCTGATGTGTTGATCGAGATCAACAAACTAGTTCCGACAGCTTTGACTTTTTCCAATCGGAATGAATAGTGCAACATCTATAAGGATTATTTTAAAAAATGAACAAAAACACCACATTCCCCATCCAAAACGAAGTCTGCAGTTTGCAGACGCAATCCTAAATGCAGTAACCTTGAGCTGACTTGCACTCGAGGGAATGTCACATGCAGTTCTCAAAGAGTGATGGAGTGATAAAAATAAGAATATTCCTCCATCCAGAGATTCCATGTTAACACTTCTGCTCCTATAGGGAAAACATGAACTGAAGATGGAAAAGAGGAAAGCTTCTACTTCTCCCAACCACTCATTATAGCCACATTTACTTCTGAAGATGGGGTGCTGGCAAGGGAGTGAACTGCCATCGCAGATGGAGGAAGGACGCATTAACATGCTCAGTGTTGCTTCATTGTTACCAGCCTGTTTTTGTTCAGAATCCT